TATTTTTATTTCTCATTTTAACATTTAACCTTGTTTCAGATGCCGAAAATCCTAATGCAAAAATTGTCAAAAATCTACTAAATTTAACAATGAAAAATAAGGTTACAGTAGAATTTGTAGGTGTATCTATCATTGAGTTAAAACAACACTAGAGAAGCAAACCTCATTATCACACGTCGAAAAAAGTGTAACCACTTTTGAACTTTGACGACGTAGCTTTGATACCACTAAACATTTGACAGTAAACATATTTATGTCTCATTTACACGCGAGACAAGAACAATACCATCGCTCGGATTAGACAAAGACAAAGACATAACTTTACGATGGTGGGCCAGTGTTGACTACCGTATGAAATTTTACCCATAACAACCAAGAAACAATTTTTTTTTTTAAACAATTTTCTAATAAAATAAATTTATTTAAATATTTTAAATAATATATTTCGAATTGAATGGAATAGGTATAAATAATAAAATAACTGGAAATATTTGGTTAAAAGGGTTATTGTATATTCAGTGTAAAATCAAATTCCGCTATGAAGCATCAGTTTTGTATACAATTGTCTTTTAGACTCTTTTTTATAAGTTTGTGTGGATATTTTACTTTCATGATACAATCTTATTTTTACCTATGTATAAATAATGGCATTTAATAGTAAAAGTGAATGATCAACTTGTACTGATAATAAATAATCCCCAGGGTGTATTGCAAATTCTTTTAATATTTTAAAATACAAATAAAAAAAAAAATATATATATATATATCTTTTTATATTTTATATTTTTTTATTTATATTTATTTACTTTTTTATTTTATATATATATATATTTTTTTTGTACAATTGTTATTTATATTTGATAATTAATTAAGAAAAATGAATGAATGAATGAATTAATTCTTTTATACAAAAGTCTCCAGCACTGCGAGCTTGGCAGAAGGTGAACGTTCAACGGGTCCCTAAAAAAAGTGATCGATTCAGCCCTAACAACTACCGTTCTTCCTATATTTTATTATTATTGACAAAATGTTTAAAAACAGTATAAAGCATATTATTTCATAAATTACAAATTCTCCCACTAATGTGGGAAAACAAAAATGTTTTTTTAATGGTAACACTAATTCTAAATTACAATTATCAATGTTTTATTTCAATTATAGCCTTATTTACGATATTATCAATACAAAAACCATAAACTTACACGTGATAAGTAATTCCGCATGATTTATTATGGTTTTGTGACCTTGAATCGCATTCTTTCACTACGCATTTACCCATTTTGGCGATTGTTACTGTCATGTGTCGCTATGTTCAACTCGGTTGACGCCACATTGAACACTGAATTGACGTTTGCTACGCATATGCCTGTGGACAGATGTGCAGTAGCAACGATTTTAGGCGGTAATTACTCATCTATGTAAGTATTATATCAATGGTATCTATAGGGATGTATATTATTCCGATGTTTCTGTCAACAACAGTCTCTAATATAATTACGGCTTTGCAATTCAATAATATAATTTAAAAATTTACAAAAAAAGTGGTTTGCATTCGAATTTGTTGATATTAATATATATTAACCTAAAATGTTAAAAGCATATTTATACATAAGTAATAATAAATAAGTGGGTGTTAGTTTGCGCCATGTTTATTTAACACCAAATATAAACGCTGCAATACCAAATCTCAAGGTGGTTATAAAATAAGAAATACTATTAGACATATAAAATCACAAGTCCTTTGCTAGACTCAGGCCACCTCTACCAATTTCTACTTCTCCTGATCCCTTTTTAACTTACCTTTTTCGTGGTCGTTCTCTATCACGGGTGTTTGCTCAAGGTCTTAACTCGAGTGATCTTCGAGCCCATCGATTGTTGTATAGTCTAATAATGTATCCTGCCCATCTCCAATTATGACATCGATTTCCACTACATCTATGACTTATGTCTTTTCTCTGATCCACTCGTTTCTCTTGTTGATGCAACGCAGGGATGTTTGTGAGGATTTTAACATAACATATAATTTAAAATTACATTTTCTTTAACCTCTGTCACGTCCGCTCAGCAGACTTTGCACATTAGTGCGCTTCTGTGTCGAGTCCGCTACGGGGATCCGCCGTAGAGGTGTATGTATAGTCTGTTTTTTCGATTACTACAGTTCTCCCTTCGCGGTCGCCTCCCCCCCGGGCTGGGCGTTATTTGTTACGCAGATGACACTCTGGTTACAGCCCGGGGAGCGGACTTTCAAGAAGGATAGTGGCAGTCGACCCCCGCCCGAAAAGATACGTGAGTGGCGTGAGGCCGCTCGTCGAGCCACGATAGCTCGTTGGTCGTCCCGGCTGGAGGCTCCACGTGCTGGCTTTGAAGCCGTGGAGGCGCTCCAGCCGGTCATTGTCGAGTGGGCAGGGCGGCAGCACGGGACCCTTTCTTTCCGGCTGACGAAGGTCCTTTCCGGGCACGGTTGCTTCGGGAAGTACCTGCACTCGGTCGCCAGGTGGGAATTGAGTCCTGCCTGTGACCACTGCGATTGCACTGAGGACTCGGCTCAGCACACTATGGCAATTTGCCCAGCTTGGGCGCCGAAGCGCCGGGTTCTCATTGCAGTCATCGGGGGGGATCTCTCGCTGCCGGCCGTCATACGCTCCATGGCTGGTAGTGACAGATGTTTCACCGCGGTCGCATCCTTCTGCAAAGACGTCATCTCGCAGAAGGAGGCGGTGGAGAGGGCCCGGGAGGACAACCAATGGAGGACCCAATCCGTCGCCGTCGAACCGTCTACCGCGGGTGGACGGGGCGGGTTTTCCCCTCCACCCGCTAAAAGCGATGTCCGCGTGTGCCGGACGTCGCCTAAATGGAGATTTTACCCGAAGGTGGTGCCCGCGCCGTTGCGGGCAGGCGCTAGGAACGTCCGGATGTATCATAATAACAGCAGTTCCCGGATCCCTCCTATTACAGGCGCATAGTGGCACACCGTGTGGTTTTAGTCGGTCCGATTCCGACACACCACCCCGCCGCAAACCCCGGTGGGGTGACGGCCCAATGGGGTTTCCAAACGTAAAAAAAAGGCCTCTGCGCCAAATGTACCTGAAGATGTTGATGCCGAGGCAGAGTGGGTCTGGCCTATTGTTCAGCCCAATATTGCTAACGCTGAGTTTACTAGTGGTCTCCGGAGATGGAACGGCTACGTCAAGCGTGCGTGACCGCACGCCCCCAGTGGTTCCCCAGAAGCCGTCGCCGCCCCGATGCTGAGCTCGAGAGGCAGAGCTGTTAGCGGAATACAGGGTTGCCAAGAGGACCCTTCAGGCACCGGTAAAGCACCAAGAGTGAGCCCGCCTTGAGTTACTGGGGACACTGGAGCGGGATCGGTGGGGACGCCCCTACTGTTTGGTTAGAAGCAAGATCCGACTGTGGGCCACGCCGCTGACCCGGTGTCTTCAGAGAGGGTCTTCGGCGGTCAACCGCGAAGCAATCTGAAAGCCACGGCCGGGGTTGCCCAAATCGTGAAGAAGAGGTATCTAGGGCTCGTACTCGATGGCCGGTAGGACTTCGGACATCATTTCCAAGGTAAGTTTCATAAGTTAGTTGGCATACAATAATTGCTGAATGAATATCCTAAGTATGTATGTATTTAACATTAAGATAAGCATGCCCTTTCCAATTTCATCACTAAACATGTTTATACAGAGGAAGCCTCGATTTCAGGGTAAATAGTTGTATTACAAATAGATGACATCGAGGAAGGAGTATGTGCTGCCTTGGGGCTGTCTAGAGAACACAATGACTCATTATAATTATAGGAGTTTACCAACCTGCCTATAGCCAGCACCTTTACCGACTTTACCAAATTTAGCCATTAAGTTACGAGTAGTTACGTGTAATAAATAATCAAAAAAAAATGCAGCTGCTTGGCATTTCTCTGTATACTAGTTTGCACCAGATAATTCCGATTCCGAAAGCATACTGCCGTGCTACAATATATATTATTCGGAATCAATATAACATCACATCACTTTTCTCTTACTACTACTCTTATTAGCCAAAGTGAGGATAGCGTGGCTACTCAGAGTACAAATTATTCAAAAGGTTCTTTAAATTAAAAATAAACTGATTATGGAGAAATTCATTTGGATCATCACTTAATAATTGGCACTCCACCACTTTTCAAGACACTTTTTGCCTCGCACAACTAACCTGTGGAACAAGTTATCGGCCGATACGACATTTAAACCTTCAAGAAAAGAGCGCACTCCTTCCTCAAAGGCTGGCAACGCGCTGGTGACTCCTGAGTTACAAGTGTTCATGGAAGGCGGCAGTTGCTTTCCATCGGGCTACCCGTCTGCTCGTTTGTCCCTACTTCCTTAAAAAAACCCTGAAAAATTGAAATTGTTTATGGAAGTTTCAGTTTTATTTTCTATTCAATTGCCATAAATTAGTTTCAATCAGACGTTAAATGACATACCAAGTATTTTAATGCCGCCACAGATAATTAGAATCATGTTTTCATGTACTTAATTATATAACTACAGTAATTCGGGACTAATACCAACCGCAAAATTCCACCATCGTTCCACACGGCAAAATTTTCATCCTCATTACCTGGATAGTTGGCGCTCCACTACTGTGCGCTTTTCGAGACACTTTTTGCCCCGCACAAGCAATATGTGGAACGGGTTATCGTCTGCGGTATTTCTTCTTCTTCTTAGGTCTTCAGAATAATGAGTTGCAGACGTTCATGGGCGGCGACAGTCACTTTCCATCAAGTGACCCGTCTACTCGTATGCCCCATCTAATAGTAAAAAAAAAAACATTAGCAACTGCTAATGAATATCACCCCATATCCACTCAGTTGAGTCAAAGTAAATATTTTATTCTATTCTGCGTTTAGCTACAATTCATTTCAATAATTATCATTTTTCAATATAATCGCTTTGATGTTAGTTTAAACATTTGTCGATTAAAAAATACCAATAGTATTGAGTATATGTGCTTACAAAACTTACTTACAATGAGTTTATTTTGAAAAGTTTCGGATATAAATACAGTAAATCTTTACCAAGTGTGAGCATCATACCAAATCCACCGATATCAGTAAAAGTGAATGTGTTATTCTGTTCCACATCCATTTACATTTAATTACAATTATTATCTTATATCGATATAATTGTTTTAACATTAATTGGAACTTATGTTGTTTCAGAATACCAATATTGTTAAGTATATTATTTACTAAGTCTATTAAGATATTATTTTTACTTATAGTGCAGCAGTAAGAGTGTAAACACCTTTTCCATTCAAGTAAAGTCCTATAAAATGCATAATATAATCCGGTGCATTGAAGTGGCTGAAAATATAATGTGTATCTATAGAAACTACCTGTTTTGTAGGAAGCGATACAAAACTTTAATTGTGCTTCGCATAGCTATTGATGTAGTAATATCTGCGCTATTAGTTCTCATAAGTTCATATTTTTTTTTACATGAGGCAAAACAAAATGTTGATTTGGGAACCTTGTATTCCTTGATGGATGTTATGTTCTTTGGTGATATCTTTTTAGGGATTTCTAGTAAGTCCAAAAGTGCGGCATACAAAATATTAATTGACAATCTTACGGCTGTTCACAACGTGCACAATAAGGATATAAACTATAACAGAAGCTTAAAACGATTGCAGATTATAATTTTTACAGGTTTCACTGTTATTTTGATGGTAATAGTAACTTGGATTGGAATTACAATTGCGAGTTTAATGTCATTAGGTGTCACCTGGGGCACATTGAATAATGTATCAGTGGTTTTCTCATTATTTCGAAAAACAGTAACCTGTATTTTAGAATTAATGGCATTATTTACATTTTTATCAGTATTGACAAATTTATTGAAGTGCTTGAATAGTACAATATTAGAGATACATAAAAAACTGCAATTGAGAGAAGAACTAAATGATGAATACTGTCATTCAATACTGATTGAGAAGCTAACACAATGGGCTGAGTTGTACGAATATTTAGTAGATAGTAGCAAGCAGCTGTCAGCATGTTTCAATTATTATGTAAATATTATTTATAAATAGTTAGAAACTAATCTGTTTGTTGAAATATCATCATCATCAACAGCCTTTAATAGCCTATTGCTGGACAAAAGCCTCTTCCTAAAGTCCAGCCGCTCAAAGAATGCGTTTCTGACAGATCGTGATCGACTGGGCAATAACTTTGAACTGGCGTACAATTTACGGCAAAATTTTAAATATCTTTTATTTACCTTATTAACGAGTGATAACATTAAAATTCGAATAATTATGGCAACTTACAATAAATGTATTAATTTTGGGCTAAAATTATTACAATTACTTAATTAACAAATATAAAAACAATAGCTTTTAAAAGTCAAACCACGTCAAACGGCGCTGTTTCAAGGTTATGTCAACTGTTTGTTTTTGTAGTGATGTGGCAAAATAACGAGGCAATTGTAATCAAATATTTTTGTAGTCTTAATATATTCTGTCGGTATAATATAAAATAAAACGTTATAATTTTATAATATACATATAATGTACTTAGTACTTAATAAAGTTAATAATATAATAAAGGTACGCCCAAACAAAACTTAAGAAAATTAGTGTCCTACTATCAGTCAGATGAACTTAAAAAATCATTGATAATAAAATTACCCACTACTTTATATTTCTGGTAAAAAATGGCAACCCAAAATAGCGTTGTGGGGGCCGCCATTTTGTGACATTTAAAAACAGTCGTCTCTCACGCCTAGACTACGTTCTCCAGTGTTTCTCGTTGTGTATTTTGTCGTGGCTGTTATTCTTGTTATTTTGACTGTTCTTCTTGACATACTGACCTCTGCTCTAATCTGGACTTTTAGTGTATAATAACAATGCCAAAACGCGGCCAAACATTGAAAAGTGAAACTCGTGAACTAATTATCAAGCTACAATATTACTTTGAGCGTGAAAGACAAAATGGCCGAACTTTAATTCCTGTCGACCAGGTCCAAGAACGCATTTCTCAGGCACTTGGAGTGAGCAAACGGACGATAGCAAATATTAATAAGGTAAAGTTCGGCTCATCTGGCATGGAAGCAAATATTTTAAGAACACCAAAAAAGAAACGCAGAACTAAACCTGCAACAGACATTGATAGATTTGACGTCGATGCAATAAGGAATCATATGTATGGTTATTATTCCAGGAATGAGTAAATTCTAGCATCTTTGAAAGCAGCATCTAAAATTTTGACGGACAAAAGGAAAATTCTCTTAGAAAGAAATGACATTATTTTAAAAATAATTACTTTTTTAAGAGAAGCGACAAAAATCGATAATTGGGACAATGTCGTTTTCATCGACGAGACATGGCTGAACGCCAATCACACGATTTCTCGTTCTTGGACAGATGACACTCAAGCGTCAACGTCAAAAGTGCCAATGGGTAAAGGAGCACGACTTATAATATGCCACGCTGGTTTTGCGAAGTATGATTTCATGGAAAACGGTTTATTGGCATTTGAGTCAAAAACCACTACTGACTATCACAAAGAAATGAATGCGGCTTCATTTATGGAGTGGTTCCAGGATGTGTTGCTACCTGTCCTGCCAAAGCCTTCAGTTATATTAATGGATAACGCCCCTTAGGATTCGGTGCAAAAAAATAAAGTACCTACCCAAGCTAATAGAAAAGAGGAATTGATGGCTTGGCTGCAAAAAAGTGGCATTGACGCAAATATGGTAATGCTAAAAGCAGAGCTGATGAAATTAGTCAATGACCATAAGCTGACAAATGTTTGATATGAAATAGATGAGTTGGCTCTGGAGTACGGTCATCGCGTTCTCCGAATTCCCTCGTACCACTGCCAGTACAACGCCATTGAGCTAATTAGGGCTCAAATTAAAGGTTATACAGCCCGTCATAATACTTCTCCACCGTATGGCGTAAAAAGATGAAGATGCTTTTAAAAGATGCATGCGAAAAAGTCACAAGAGATGACTGGATGAAGGTGGTTGAAACTAAAAAGATTATATTTGATGACTGACCGCGATATCCGTATAGATACTATGATTGACAATAATATGATTATACACGTTAGTGAAGATGACAGCGACTCCTCAAGCGAATCGGAAGATTAAATTGTTTGACATAGTCTTCATTGTTCAAGGCTTAAAACTATGTATTTCATAATATACATTTTCCAATAAATAAAGCATTTTTATTTTTATTCCCTTCGTTACATTTAGAAATTACGATTCAATTCAATTAATTGATTCATTAAAAATTTATTTACATCGTGAATATTTATTGAATATATGGAAATATAATGCCTATAAAAAATAACAAATTAAATAATAATAAAATAATTAAATTGAATAAATATGCATAATGAATGCAATAAATAACGTTACTAAATATTATCAATGTTATTTATTGTACATCACCAGTCATGACGAATTGACAGGTGTCAGAAACGCATTTTTTGAGCGGCTGGACTATAGAAAGGAGATTTTGGCCTACGATATCACGCTGATTAAACGGGTTAATGCAGGGTTTGTTTCAAGTTTTTCTTGTCTTTGCAGTCCTGTTGTTTACAGAGTTAGCTCCTTTGGTCAGCTCTTACGACACCCACAGCGGTCACTACTGGGACATTGTTTAAATAGTTTTATTTAAAAGTTTGCTATTTTAAAAATAAATTAACTGTCCGTGAAATAAAAACAAAATAAAACTTTCTTCTGAAAAACAATGTAAACAAGTATACCTATTTCTACTTCTAGTATGAGAAACTATGCTTAGAATTTGTTGTAAATTTCAGTGGGTTTGGGTTTGTTGTAGCAAATAAACTAAGATTCAAGAGTGCTTTCAACATAAAAAATGTGTAATACAATACTTTGAACAGAATAAAGAAAACAATTTAAAAACACATTCATCTCTTTTGCTTTTTACTTTTCTATTCTATTTTCGTTTTGACGCTGTCACACATGAGGTTGTAGAAAAGAGGTTCGTCAATTGATCAATTGTCAAAACTTGTCCTTGATCAATTTACAACGTAGCATCTCAAAAACTCTTCGGTTGAGTGGCTTAGTGAGAATGTCTGCAATCTGCTTGCTGCTCTCGACGTGTTGCAATATCACAGTGTTGATCGTTGAATCGACTGAGATAGTTCACGGCGAAGCTGATGTCTGGGCGAGTGATTGTAGCTAAGTACAACAAACTCCATATCGCCTCACAATAGTTGTTGTTTTGCCGGTAGTGCCTCGTCATTCTTGAAGTCTGTCTTCTTGGTGATCATTCCTTGCTCAATGGGTGTTGATGCTGGGTTGCACTGTTCGAGTTTCATTTTTCTCAAGATCTTCTCAGTGTATCGAGGCTGATTCACGAAGATACCATCCTTGTCGATCTTGATTTCCATGCCCAAGTACGTACATTATTCTGTGCTTTCTTGCTGTATGTGATCTGAAATTCCTTGTTTATCGCCCAAGAGTCTGTATATTTATTTTTCATCCTTACCAGCTATCAATCCATCATCCACGAATAGTGAGAGCATAATGCTCTTGTCCTTGTTATAGTAAATACATGGGTCGTCATCAGTGTTGATCAGGCCTATCTTAATTTTAAAGTGTGTGGTGACCCTCTCGTTCCACATCCTCTGAGCTTGTTTGAGCCCGTAAAGACTCTTATCCAACTTGCAAACTTTTCCTGATCCATCGTCGAACCCTTCAGGCTGGTTCATATAAATAACTTGCTCCAGGTTTCCATACAAGAATGCCGTCTTCACATCGAACGATACCAACTTCATTTTCTCTGACGCTGCATGACTCAAAAAGTAGTCGAATCGATTCATGGCGGGCTACTGGGCTGAATGTTTCCGCGTAGTCCACTCCTTTCTTCTGTTCAAATCTTCTTGCTACGAGTCTGGCCTTGTATCTTCCGTCTGCCTTCTGTCGAAGTACCCAACGACAAGTGATCGGTGTCACTCCTTCTGGATAGTTCAGCAGTTCCCAAGTTTTCATTTCCATTAACGAGTCGTTCTCCTCCTGCATTGCTTGTTTCCACTTCTCATCTTTGAGTGCTTCACTCACCGGGATGTCTTCCGTTTCACCAATCATGGCTACTTTTGCGCTCGTTCCTCCACGCCTGGAGTCAAGTACGCAGTCTTTCAGTCTCAGTCGCGGTTGCAAAGTTCGACGATCTCGCAAAATTGTTCTTCCTGGCTCTTCTGGCGGTTTTATCCCATTTTCATTGTTATTAGTCTCCTCAGCACTTTCTCCTGTTGTCCAGTTTTCCTCTTCTTCGTCTGACTCACTGCTGCTTTCTTCTTGCTTCTCAGGTGTGCCCTCTGTTGTCGATGTCTCAAGTTCAGTACCTTGCCTCTGTCTTATCTTTTCTTCGTCGAAGATTACATTGTCTGAAGTGACTACTTCTCTCTTCTCTTTCATATAAGTCCTGTAACATGGCGAATCGATGTCATAGCCAACCAGAATTCCCTTTTCTGATTTTCTATTTATCTTACCTCTCTTCTGTGCTTGAGTCAGCACATAACATTCACATCCAAAAGGTCGCAGTTTCTCAATTTTCATTTTTCTTCCAAACCATAGTTCTGCCGGACTTTTCCCTGGTACGTTGCTGGTTCCTGTCTGGTTGATCGTGCAGATCGCGTGGTTCATTGCCTCTGCCCATAGTCTCTCATCCAAACAATCTGCTTGTATCTCTGCCTTGGCTGCCTCGACAATCGTTCTCATCTCTCTTTCGACCCTTCCATTTTGTTCTGGTGTATCTACATTCGTAAAGGTATGAAAGATTCCCAACTTGTCCATCAGCTCTTTCGTTTTTGCATTTTTCAATTCCGTGCAGTTATCAGATCTCAGACTTTTCACTCTTCTTCCCAGTTGATTTTCTACAAGTCTTAGATAGCTTTCAATCTTCGCTGGGCCTTCACTTTTCGTCTTCATAAAGTAACAGGTTCGGTAGTGGGTGAAATCATCTTTCAACATGAGCCAATACTTTGATCCTCCTAGAGATCGGATGTTCATCTCGCCGGTGTCAACATGCACAAGATCTAATGGCTGCTGGGCTGTCTTGGGGTTGTTCGGGTGTGAGGATCGATGTTGCTTTCCATATGAGCACCCCGTGCACACATAATTATTCCAGTCATCAACATACTTGATACCTTTTCTTTTCAGTATGTCCCTCACATACTTCACGTTTTGATGGGCGAGTCTTTCATGCCATACTTTGATCGACTGAACCATCAAACTTGTCACTTCTTCTCTCCTGAGCGTCATTTTGAAAAGATTTCCGTTGCGCCTTGCTATTGCCACAATCTCCCTGCTATCCAGACTGTAAAATGTCGACTTCTTTACATTTGCCTTCTATACATATCCCTTGTCAAGCATCTGACTTACTGAGAAAAGATTAAAGTAAAGATTTGGTACGTAGATCACATCTTCAAGTACCACTGGATACCACTTTTGACCATCAAAGCCTCCATTTCGATGTTCCCGACTGCAACGCCATCTAGTCTGGTTGCGTCTCCAATCACAATTGGAATGGACTCGTCCAGTTCATCAAGCTGTACAAACCATTCTCGATGAGACGTCAAGTGTTGGCTGGCTCCACAGTCTTGATACCATGAAATTGCCCTGTCCTTCGAGATGTCGTTGTCCACTGTCGAGAGTGTTGTGGTCAAAAAAAGCCTTCTTGATTGGTATTCCATTTGCTGACTTATTTCCTTCTTCTCTGAATGGACAGTCCTTTGCGAAATGTCCTTTCTGCTTACAATTATTACATGAGTATTTCTTTTGCAGTACTCGATGTATTTCTGACATGGCTTTCCTCTGCACTCCTTGATTACGTGACCTTTCTTCTCACATTTGTAACATGCGAGCTGTGACTGGTCCTGCTTGCTTGATGACTGTACTTGTTTCACACGTCTTGTCATGAGAGCGTTGCTGGTACTACTCTCTGCGTTTGTCGTCGATTTCTTAAGTTGCTCGTCTTCAAGCCTTAAATGTTCAATGAGAGTATCTAAGTTCTTTGTAGGTCCGGTCACGTTGTTCCATGATGTTCTGAAATGCGCCAATTTTGGTGGTAAGACAGTCAAGATCTTTGTCATGATCCAACTTTCTCTCATAGGATCATTTTCAGTCGACACTTCTTCAGCCAAATCCATAATCTCCATACAATTCTCTACTGCTGACTTGCTTTCATCATACTCATCATACTCAAAGGTAAAGAATTTAATTCGAGACGTTTCTAAAGTTACATCAGTCTTTGTGCCATATAAAGTAACTAATTTGTCCAACATGTCTTTGGCAGTTTTACAGTTTGCAATTTTGTTCGCTATCTTACTGTTTACATTTAAACCTGTCAATGTTTGAGCTTCGACATCCTTCTTTATCCAAGCTGAAACCTTTCCTTCTGACACAGCATCTGCTGGTTCGACTTTCACGCCTGTCACAATGTCATACAGGTCTTTATTCTTTAGTGCTAGGTTTAGTTTAAATCGCCATGAAATGAAATTGACATTTCCCTGACTATCTTCACTTAGCATCTCCAACTGAGATTTTACAGTATCCATTTTGCTTACAATTAGTTGACTTCTGACAACTTTTAAATAAACAAAATGAATTTACAAACTTTCGTGGCGATTTTCTGACTTAAAGCGACTTGCGTGCACGTTCCTCAACATTGACTTGCTGTGCGATGACTGCTCATCTTGACTTCTTTTCGGTCACTTTCCTGGCCTTGCTTCCAACAAAACCCTTTCACAGCTGCCCTGGGCCCATAAATAGTTGTAAATTTCGGTGGGTTTGTTGTATGTAATAAACTAAGATTCAAGAGTGCTTTCAACATAAAAAATGTGTAATACAATACTTTGAACAGAATAAAGAAAACAATTTAAAAACACATTCATCTCTTTTGCTTTTTACTTTTCTATTCTATTTTCGTTTTGACGCTGTCACACATGAGGTTATAGAAAAGAGGTTCGTCAATTGATCTATTCTCAACAGAATTGTTATAGTGGCTCACATTCAGTGGAACGTTTCAGTTATGTAGTGAGCATACTTTCCCTCAGATCTGTTCAGTCAGGTAAAGGAAAGTGGTGGGTGTAAATGATTCAAAATTAAATTATTAGTTGAAGCTTTAAATTTTACATTTTTTTTATAGTTAGTATATATTAGGTCTTTACCTATGAAATTGCCGTTTTGTATGCAATAAGTGAAAGTACTTATTTTTTCAAACTTTTTTATTTCTGTTATTCGAAGTAATCACCCATGCAATCGACGCATCTTTGCCAACGCATTGGCAGTTTATTGATGCCCTTCTTGTAAAAATCAGCTGGACGGGAGGCAACAAACTCTTAAAAGGCATTTTGTACTGACTCTCGGGAATTGAATTTTTTACCCACTAAAAAGTTGTCTAAATTTTGGAAAAAGTAATAGTCGGTAGGTGCAAGGTCTGGTGAGTATGGCGGATGAGGGAGAGCTTCCAACCCCAGCTCTTGCAGCTTAGAGACTGTCTGTTGCGCAGTATGGGGTCACGCGTTGTCGTGAAGGAGCAGTGGGGACGACCGATTGACCAAAGCTGGTTGCAAATGTGACCACCAGACCTTGCACCTACCGGCTATTACTTTTTCCAAAATTTAGACAACTTTTTAGTGGGTAAAAAATTCAATTCCCGAGAGGCAGTAAAAAATGCCTTTGAAGAGTTTGTTGCCTCCCGTCCAGCTGATTTTTACAAGAAGGGCATCAATAAACTGCCAATACGTTGGCAAAGATGCGTCGATTGCATGGGTGATTACTTCGAATAACAGACATAAAAAAGTTTGAAAAAATAAGTACTTTCACTTATTGCATACAAAACGGCAATTTCATAGGTAAAGACCTATTATTTGTATGTCAATATTATATATAAAATTAAATAACTTTAAAAAAAGTCACTGAATAGTTGGTAATATATGGTAATAAGCTTTGTTCCTTAATTTCCTGTTTTATAACCGAATTTACTGTAATATAATTTTTATAGAAAGTGGCCTTAATATTTTATACCCGTGTTTTGTTCTTTCCACGCTCGTCGCCTCATGATAACTAATTACTGTCAACAATGGACACCTGCAACTTAAATGCGTTGCCGCCCTAAGACACTGGACTCCCCAGAATCAGGGATCGAAGTTGTGGGCTCCCTGGAATCTGGGGTCGTAGGTGAGGGCTCGGGTAACCTCAATCACTCGGTAAAAAGCAACGAAAGAATTGCTTAAAGGTGGGTCCATATATATATGGCGAATGTGCCAAGACCTGCGGGCTTGTTGTTCGTGTGCGGTTACAGCCTACGTAATGCGTGTAAACATGAAATGCACACACACACACCTTCCACACAACTCTCATGACAGTCAAAATTAATTATTTATCAATTTAGTTAGTATTTAGTTTATCATTCTATTGTACGGCATTTATTTTATTTAGAAATAATTTTCTGTGTCTGAGTTCGGCATAACTATACCCAGCAAACAAATGCTCAATTTGTACAAAAACTATTGACTAATAATTTTGTCGCCTGAGTCTGCCCGTAGGGGGAACACTCGGACCATGTGATTTTAAGGTCCTCCCCGAATCGATTCCACGCCTAATCTGTCCCTATCCGCCATAACCACAAGCATTCCCCCGCAAATCGATAACGTCTATTTGCGATCAGTCCGACACCTTAATCTCTAACGCAGCCCTAACGTGCCAGCAGAGAAGCCTGCTCTCTGGCGGCCCGTGACCTAATCGACGCCTGATATAACATAAATTCAGAAATTTAATTTAGAAATGTAACTATCATTTGTGTCATCACACGAATAAAAACCGTTTTAATATTATCTTACCAAACTTTAGTGAAATTATGTAATATTGTTTATCGTTAAGTGATTGCTTTTCAGATAATGTATTTATACACAGTGAAAGTCGCTTCTTTTACATATATATTTTATGACACAATCAGTTCGCTTATAATAAAGGTAAATAAACAAAAGGAAAGGTAAAATGTACAGTATTGGAAAAATATTTAATTAGAAAGTAATATCTTAATTTTTACAGGAAATAAACCCGTACTCATTCATTTTATCTATGTCTTTGATCTTCGTGCGTGAGGTAATTCCGATTGTGATGCCATTTTATGCTGTTCAAAAGCTTTGTAATGAAGTGGTTACGATGAACAGGGCCATCACTAAATTGTATAGTTTGGTTCACGCAAGTAAGTACAAAACAACTCGATCCCCATTAACAATTTACTATTTGGTTTTTTGATTTACTATTTGAAATTTTGAAGGTAAATAAATAAACGAGCAGATAGGTCCTAATAGTAAGTGACCACCAGTAGTCACTTACAACCTACAAACTTTTGAATTGTATAACCTACAACTCAAAAGTCACAAGGTTTACTCTTATATCGCTGTATCACTTGTTGCAATCTATAATTTTATCCCACTTACGTAAAAGAGAACAAACCTTTGATCTTCAACCTGATATATTGAAAGCAAAGGTAGATAAGAGGAAGCTGTCTATCTGTTTAGTAAACATCACAATCATTATCGTAATTTACCTCCGGGCGTCACCCCAGGACCTGTTGCAGTTTTATTTTTAAAATTATGGATATAATAAATAAAAGTGACACTAAACTGTGTGTATCAAATTTCATATTCAAATTCAGATAGTTTAAGAAATAAGATAAAAGGACCCAGAAAAAAGGTATATGTATATTCCTAGGTATATGTATATGCTTTGAGTTTTTTAATAATTTAGTAACATATTACCGCTAATGGCATATTAAAAGAACGAGGAGTGGGTATTGTACTTTTATGGTTCAATTATGTTATTCATTGTAAAAAACCTTAATGTTGTAAAAATAGATTATAACATGAGTATGGTTTAAAAATTACAAGAAGTTATTTTCGAATTTATTTTCCATTTACATACATTTGAACTTGTTTCAGATCCTGAAAACCCTGCAGAAAAAACTGTCAAAAATTTACTAAATTTAACAAAGAAGAAGACGGTTACCGTAGAATTTGCGAGTGTATCTATAGGGATGTATCTTTTACCGATGTTTCTGTCAACAGTAGTCTCAAATGTAATTATAGCTTTACAATACGATAATCTAATTTAAAACTGTGCAAAAATATGTTAAACATATACATTTTACAAAGATTATTATTTAAATGATTTTTTAAATAGGGGTAATCCCTCCCACACGCCCCCCACTGTTACTCCTGTATACCGGGATCAACAGCAGTGACCCACGAACA